AACAGTTTGTACACAGAGCGCCTAGTGCACCTACTCCTGTGAACAGGTTTAAAGCAACGACGCCACCCAGTCAAACCGGTTCGACAGCTGTAAATAGCTCGACAAGTCCAACGACTCCTACAAGCCCTACAGAGAAAGTATCGCTGAAGAAGGCACCGGATCCAAACAAGACGTACGTTAGAATCGATTTTTTTTCGTTGTTTTTTCGTTACTTTCATAGCTTGCATTTACAGTTCTTTATTGTTCTGCTTTCGTTTTCGTAAGAAGAAGGAACGATTGTCAAGTATCCGAGACACTCACGTGCAGGTTCACGTTATCCCGGCAAAACTGCGCGCATCCCAACCTCGTTCCCAGGGTGAAAGAGAGAGGACCCTGGAAACGAGGTTGCCCCCATCGCTCCCCCAAGCAATGCGCCTTCTCACTGGTGAGAAATTCATTCATGGTCTTCAAAAGCGTACTACTTAATTGATATTTTTCACGACGTCATTTCTTATATTCACAGTCCAAGAGATCTGAAAAAGAAACCTCAGTTAAAAAGACAAATGTCTGTATCATCGCTGATCCTGACGTGGTGTAAAGACGTCACTCAAGATTACGAGGTAAATAATTATTCATTTAGCAATTATCAAGTAATAGATTATTCATTAAGTCTCTGATGTACACTATTGGAGCCAATCCCCGAGGTGAGACTACGGGACAACTTAAAAAGAAGAAAAAAAAAACACCACCACACTTTGAATAGGGGTGCTTGAAATATGTCGTTTACATATTTGTTTGCAAGTGTGCCAGTGTGTTATATAATTCTTTGAAAAGGGCAAACGTTATTCTCACTCGAGAATCTCTCACTCGAGAATCTCTTGTCTCAATAGTTTTTGCCTAGTCGACAATGTCATTTTGAATTCACTATTGTGCTTATTCATGTAGCGGCCTTTGGCAGCTTTGGGCATCCCCTAAATGCCTTTACATGTTAGACCTACTTTAAGGGCGGAAAATTTGAAAGTTTCTGTTTGACAGAGGCACTGGGATTTACAAAGAGAGGGAAAATGGTGAAGTGTGACTTCCAAATCCTTCTTGGCGTGACGTCGTTAAGGATGTACCTTTATCAGCTGATTTTTGAGAGGAGGTTGAGAAGGAGAGGGGGGATGCATAAATAATACTTTTAAACTTATTACCATTTTCTTTATTTTCTTTTATTACAGGGGGTAAACATCACGAATTTCAGTGGTAGTTTCAGCTCTGGTTTAGCTTTCTGTGCTCTAATACATAAATTTAACCCTGACAAGTTTGATTACAACTCACTTTCCGCGGAAAACAGAGAACACAATTTTAAATTGGCGTTTGAGACCGGCATGTAAGTATTTTGTAAATAGCTCTGTTCAGACCATAGTATTGTTCCTCTTACTCAACCGCATTGCGGAATAGAAATTAATTAGCAATTATTGGATTCTGCTTTCGTGTAGTGAAATTTAACAATAATTATTTAATGTTCAGCTGATTATAATGTGGAGAATTATGCAGATCGAGAAGATTGTCATTCATTTAAAGTATTTCTAAGTTCTTTATTACAAACTGTGCGGAAACTGAATAGTTGGGTTTAAAACTCAAGTAATCTAACGAATCGTAAGCGATTGATGTTAGACGACGAAAAATGATTTTGTCACGCAATTGAATGACTAGGCACTGAATATTATAATTTTATAATAAACCGCTTACCAAAAATTAAAAAAAAAATCTTGGGCGATGCACGTACGACTGAAATATTTGAACACTTCACGGTAGTCAATCATAATCACTGCACACAGAACAGTGGATGATGTGGTCAGTAGAACTGGGTGTACTGTGCAACCCGATGAGTAGTCTTTTTCTCTTTCTTCACAGCTCTGTCGGGATTCCTGCTCTTCTTGATGTAGAGGATATGGTTAGACTCAAAAAGCCTGAACCACGAAGCGTACAGTGCTACGTTCAAATGATATTTAGTAAATATCGACCTAAAGATTTGGACATGTCCAATCTCATTATCGCTTGACGTTCTTTGAATTATTTTTGTTTGCAATATGCAATAAGCACCGTTGCCAGACTACATTTTGGATTTTCCTTACGGATAATCGACCGAGGAAAACGAATTTCTTTCCACGCAGATAATTCGCGAAAGAACTGAGTCAGCCGCTGTTCGAAGTTTGGATATATCCAGAAGTGTATATGCTTATTTGGAGACATTTCTACAAGGTCATTGTTGTATAGATTCTCCGTAAGGTGCTACACCACTTCACAATCAATTCAGCACGTTGGAATTGTTTAGCTGGGACAACGACAATTTAACTAGAGCTAGATCTACTCATCAACTAGAGAACACTCTCAAAATGCTAATCTACAGTCCCGTTTTTCAGTGTTATTGAATGCAATGGAGTATTTCCGACAAGGAGATGTCTGAAAGTTCGCAGCCTGATTTTGGAAGTCCGCACAATCACTGAACATTGGGTTGGAGGGGGAAGGGTGCGGGGGGGAGGGGAGGGGAGGGGAGGGGATCTGCTGTGTCTACAAAATGGTCCACACAATCCTGCTGTCAACGAAATAAGCCTGTAGGATATTTTAGTTTAGAAGCATGACAAGTAGGAGAAGCACAATAGGACTCAATGAATTACATGTATTTCCAACAACAATAAAAAAAGACGGACAAGAAATACATGAAACTAAGAAACATGGCAGTATCAGGGCTAGTGCGCTGGCTTTTGTCTCTGTGTCAGAATTTTAAAATGCAAATGTGCTGTGGTTCTTGATAATTTGTAAAATTTAACGAATTGACATTTTTCACCAGGCAAATTAAAGATTTGTGCACTATCTCAAATACTGAATGAGATGCATCAGAGAATGCATGTTTTATCAGGTTGTGTGGTGTCATATCGTGCATATATATCGTCTTTGCAGTGCTGGTTTCGTAGACATTTTTTACCTAAATTGTATTGAATTTTCAATGCCAGTTTTTTAGGTATGTAGATATGAGATGCGAGTTGTTTCAAAGATTTTAATAAAGATTTTTTACCCTTTGTTTTCTTTTCTTTTTCTCTCTTATTCGTTGTACTCAAGACCAACCTCCTTTTAGGGCACTAGAATATTTCATTCAAATTTGCTAATAGGGCGCTTAAGACCTGCCTACGATTGCGCGAGGAAATTGGCGTGCGACTACTAAAACCGGGGCACTTGAAAGAAGATTATCCAATCACCGTGTTTTTTGAAGACAAAAGATGCTCAAATATTTTTGCAAACTGATCAATAGAATTCAACAACTATACAACCGTTGAAAACTTTAAAACCGTTTGAACTTACCTGATCTCTCAGGAAACATGAATGTTATTGGTCCGTTTTCTGTGGAGGCGTGTGTGGCCGAGTGGTTAACACCTCGAACTCCGGATCTGCAGGTCCGGGGTTCAAGCCCCGCCCATCACGTTGTTTCCTTAGACAGGGAAATTTACTCCACTTTGTCTCTCTTCATCCAGGTGTATAAATGGGTACCGGCGACATACTACTGGGGATAACCCTGCGATGGACTAGCATCCCGTCCAGGGGGGTGTAGCAATACTCCTAGGCATGCTTCATGCGCGATAAACTCCGGCGGTTTGGACTTTTGGCTCGGGTGCGCTTTTACCTACTGGTCGGTTTCGAAAAAACTAGAGAATCGTTTGTTTTCAAAAACGTTGTGATTAGATAATCTTCAAAGTGCTTCGGTTCGAGTAGTCCCACTGTAAGGTAACGCCTAAAGATGTTTAACACCAAAAAGATTAAGTCTTCAGAAAGTATACCGTATGTGTGAAGCTACCTTGAAGTGAAAACTGTGGTTGAACAAGCTTTTCAAAGAACGCTGATTGATTTACAGATAGTTCAAAGTATATCTAGACCTAATTCAATTAAGGTAGCTTTGGCAACTGGTCATTGGTAATTGGGCATACGGAACTCATTTCAACGCCACCAAGCAATAGTAATCGTCTTTGAATCAGCTATATCCCTGTTTTGAAAAAAGTTGCTTTGGAGATTAATCATTAGCAGTTGGGCATAAGGAACTCACTACAATGATTTGCTTGAGTGATCACCAAACAAAAGCTTTTCAGTGCGCAATTCTCAATCCCAAAAGCAATTTTCATTGAATCAGTTATGTGTTTTTTTTTAAACTTAGTGACCCGTTGGTTAATCCAATTAAGGACTAAAATTGTTAGTACTTTGTACAATGCTTGAAAGTTGTCCTCTTTAACAGAATACAAAATACAGAGTTCGTACAAAGTTTTGGATCCAGACTGAAGATTATCAAATAAGGGGAAGACACCATATAAAAATTGCAGTAACCAAGCTCCTTCATGATGCCCTACGAATGTACAGTAACCACGGTGCATTACCAACAAACTTCTCATTCCGTGATTAAATGTCTTTGGTACGGGCGGGATTGAATAATATTTGACCACGGGAAAATATTACTTATTAAGCACTTGGTGTACCATTTTCCGGACATTATCTCTATTTTCCAAACTTTTTAAGAATTCAAGACGTCTTTTGTCAAACCAGGAACCATTTTTTGTTGTCCTTGCAATTAGTGAATGACTTTGTTAGAATGAAAGGTGTGGTCTTTCAGTTAATTTGAAAGGGGCCTCGGGAGAACTACCCTTTCACAAGCTTCCTTTTAGTATCCAATAAGGAGACATAAGAAAGACATTCTCGGCATGTATAAATAGTTTATGTATAATCAAATCATTTTAAAATCAAAATAAATCAACACAACGTGCGAGAATGATAGTCAAACGATTTTCTACTTATAAAATCCTCAGTGTTGGTCTCTTGTTTGAACCTTTGCCAACGTTCATGACAACAGTCTCCAAACATTAAAACGCATCGAGCATACTCCTTCTATGAGTTCATTCTCTATATAGACATTTCATTTAAGGTACGTTTAAAAACTCTATGTACAGTTTCAAAAGATTTATTCAGACTATTTACAAATAGATTGTTCGACTATATTAAGCGGCAGCTTTTTGAGGTGGCTTTAGATTGAAACCTCCACCAGTAAATCTTGGTCCATCTGATCTTTGAGGAGAGAATGCAGGTCCGGCAGCCTGTTGGTAAGCGCGATCTCGCTCCCTGAAATAAAAGGGGAACGTTTATGAGAAATCCGAATGCATGACACAAGATAGACTGTCTACAGTACCCCTATTTTTCTGTAACATCGTCGAGATAGAGAGCGCTTGCTCTTATAGGTGGCCACTTGGTTTCAAACGGGGCGTGCGGGCATCGGGTTTTATAGCTCCCCCTCCCCGCCACAGGCTCCGCTCCCTGGTAGATCTGATACTCTCTAAATCTCGACGATCGTCCCAACAAAACGAGGGACTTTAAACAATATAGACAAGAATGTTCCATGTATCTTTAGTGAACTAACTTTATTCGAGGTCACACCCAAGCTTAAAGAAGCAAATCTAAGTCGAATACAATAACTGGTACAGTGCTAATACGTTAACAAAATACGTAAGACGTGGATAGTGTACCTTGCTTGCTGCTCTTTTCTTTTCTGCATATAAAACTTTTTCTTGACCTCTTGTAGTTCTTTTGCTAATCTCTCAATCTCGTACTTGTATTCTTTAACTTGCGCTTCGTACATGTTCAGTTCCGATGACATTCCCTTCATTTGTTTGGTTTTTTCTTTGAGTGTTTGTTGATAAATACTGAGTTGTTCAGCGACCTCCGGACCTGGCTGTCGAGCGAGTATCTGTTTAAGTTCCATGTAAAGTTTTTCTTTTTCTTGGATAAGGAGCTCTTTTTCCACGACCTAACAAAAAAATGATATATAAGTCCAAATAATTCGGCAAATGACTAAATAGTACAAGATAAACTAATGCAAACGATTTCTCACTTTCAAACGAACTTCACTACTTTTAGAGACACATCATACCCAACTGAATGTGACTCCTTAGGGCGGGGCTGATCACTCATTTTTTTAAGAGGGGAATGGGTGATGCACTTTGGGCAAGGCACTATCTCCACGACTACCAACGTAATGTAATTCTAAGGTGTTTGTTTCTGAAATATCCCGGCCACGGCTGCCTTCCACAGTTGAGTGGTCGCCCCCTGAGAGAACTCTAATTCTTTTACAAACGTTTCACGCTCAGCGGATTTTAAAGAGAAGCATCAAAATCACTGCCAGGGTAGAAAACACAACAAAGGTATCAATCCTTAGCGAGAATGTAAGACTTCATTTTCTGGCTCTTGTGCGTAAGATGCGAACGTCTTCTTATTATGACGTCAGAAAATTTAAGCACGCGCGTGTTATGAGACAATTCGCGCGCGCAAGACAAAGCGATGTAAACTAACCTCTTCCGTCTTTTGTATTAATCGTCTTTGTAAGGTCTGAATCTTCTGGATCATTTCGTACGTGCTGGGGTCGCTTCCCTACAAGTAGAAATAGAAGAAATTAGCACAGGTTTTCTCAAGGAATTCAATAGTGCAGCAAAAGGGTATTGCCGTACCTCGAGTTTCCTCCATCTGTGAATGTTCATTGGGTTTTCAAGTTCTTCTTCCAGAGCCTTGCATCTAGTTCGCTCTCTGAGTAGCTCACGCTGTGTGTGATAAACTTCCCGCCTTTACGAACAGTAAAAGAAGATACCTTTTTAGAAACCCAATCAAACAGTGGTAGCCATGGATAGCTGTTTCGTCCTTGTAAGATCATAACTTACCACAATGGCATAGCCGTCGGTCAACAGGTGCATTGACTCAAACGTCCGGCGTTTATGCCCTGAGTACAAAGTACTCGTTTAAAAGAGCTTTGTCACAAAATTTCGTTAAATTCAGAAACCATACAAATAACTGCTCAGAGCATCGTGAAAAAGGTTATAAAGAACACACCGCAATACCTAAGGAGGCGGCACGGATGGTCAAACTTAAAGTAGATTAAAAAAGATTCAGTGCAATTGTAGCTTTTGAAAATTTGTTTGCCTAACAGTCTTTCATAGTTGGTTTGTGGTGTTTGTGACGTTGGTGTCTGTAACGCTGTTGGCTACAACGACAATGTTTATTCCAACTGGACCCAACTTGATTTTGTGGTCACGCTATGAAATGTCATGCACGTCAGATGCAAAATTTTTAAAGTTATGATTTTGCCGAAATGTAACCTTTATTACATTTTATATTTAGCGTGGAAAGGACATTAACAGCACAGTTCCAGGGCGAGATATCTCAGTCAAATGTTAAAAACGACACGTTATATAAGCGTTTAAAGTTAATTTTCTGTACTCAGACAGTCATCGTCAAAAGTTTAGGGAAGGTTGCTTTTTTAACCTCTTTCTTCCTTCCTCTCCCCGTCCCTGACCCAATGCTGAGCAAAACTTATGTTTGTGCGCCTAATTGTCCTGTTATATCCCAATATTGAATAGAGGGGACGGGGGATATTTAGCAAAACAGAAAACTATCTTTTTGAGGACTAAACTAGACTACTACTAATTTGTACTACCTTTCCAGCTACTTTTGTCTGGGATTGTAAGATCATAAACAACATCATTGATATTGTTTACCTCAAGTCCTCCACATTCGCCACACTCTTTGTGAGAATGTTCTTCTCACGGCGAAGTTTCTTGATTTCAAGTTTAAGCAGTCGAATATCTTCCAGCCTCTGTCGGTACTGAATCTCACCTATAAAAA